GCCCGCCGTCCTGGCCGACGGGCCTGGAGCAGGGGGCCTTCCCAACACCTGCTCCCCAGCGCTGTTCACTGGAGGCTCCCAGGAAATGAACTTCCAGAGGCAAAACATTTCTTCTGCCACTGCACGTACAGCCCCTCCCTAACGATCTGCAAGCCATAAGCAGTCATTAGCTAATGACTGCCAGCATTAAGGAACTGCATGCCTCCAGGTACCAGAAAATCTTGTGGGAATACTCTGCCGCACACACAGAGCAGCACGCTCTCTGTCGCACGGCACAGCGGACACGCTGATGGAGGAGCGGGGTGGCGAGCAGGTCTTTAGGCAGTCGAACCACAGGGTTCACGGGATCGACCCAAATTCTGCCCGTTTTGCTTTAATTAATTCCCCACACATCCCTGCGCCTGCTACCCCGTGACTGCCTTAGCGTGATTTATTTAGTACTTCCTAACATCCAAAGCGTCCCAAAAGGTTTATCAATTCATTAACCTTTACACCGCCAAGAGATGGCCTTTGCGGGGCCGGTGGCAGCCTCCCCCCGCTCTGCGTCCTCCGACGTGCTGAAGTGCCACCTCCCATGATTCCCGTGGCTGAGCTGCAGCCCAGCGGATCCGGAGGGCGGCAGGCTGAGGGAGGCTGCCCTCGAAGGCGAAAGGAGGGGGTGCGGTGCGGCCCCTTGGCATTGCCAGGCAGAGCTGGAAAACTGCCCTGCCCAAAACCCTGACGTGCTTCTGCCAGGCAGGGCCAACCACACTGAGGCAGGCGAGCCAGATGCCCGACCTGGCGGCTTCCTGCGCCGCTGGGCCCAGAAGACAAGTGGAAAACAAATCAGAATGTGAATGGGTCGCACCTCTGGCGGCCCTGTTCCCTAGACACATGCGGGCAAAGCGCAACAGCCAAGACTAATGAACAGAAGGGGGGGCGGATGCAAGGAGGGAAGGCAGGCCCTGCGCTCACGGGGGCAGAAACTCCAGGGCTGTCCTCCAGAGCAAGTAGTACTCCCAGACTGTATGACCACACGCAAGACGCTGCCTTCCTAAAAAATCACGGCAGAGCAGAGCACGCTGGACGCCAAGGGACTCTGCCAGCCTCTCATTTTAAGGGCCCACCCCACCTCTTCAAAAAACGGCAGGAGGATATTAGAAGGGTCCGAGCCTCACAGAAGCAATATGGGAAGCTGGGAAGGAACCTCCGGGACGGAGGAGCGCAGGAACCATTTGGCCTGGCAAAACATCCTGTGGAGGATGTGCTTAAGATAACAGGGCCCTTGTCAGGACCTGGGTGCGAGCGGTTACCTTTTCTTATGGAGGGCTATTTTCTCTCTCACAGGAAATGATGCTCACTTCATGGGCCTCACGTTACTGGAGCGACCCTGACTTGACAGCCAAGCCAGGAATGACCCGTGGGAAGTGACCCGGAGACGTAGCGTGACTGCGAAGTTTGGGTGAGGTTTTCCAGTCTGAAGAATAATCAGTTCACTGGCTCTGCATTTGGCAACTGCAGTGGATCTGCGCAGAACCTGCTTCACACACCTTTTGCTTCCCAACATGCTTTTAATTCCTCAATAAAAAGCAGAGTCCACAGGAAATGGGACCACAGGAAATGAACTTATCCACAAGATCAGAAGCTCACTTTGGCAACACAGGAAGGTGTTGAGGCCGTGTGTGAACTGTTACAACGAGAGGCATACAAGTTAAGGGCTGGAAAAGGGGAAGAAACCAAACAAACCCAAACAAACCCAAACCCAAACCAAACCACACACAGCTGCCATGTAAGACAATTCTAAACATTTTCAAAACAGGGCATATTGCTTCACGGAAGCCGGTCGAAGCTTAACTGCGAGACAAGGCAACTCAAGTGCATATTGTCCTATTTTGAGAATCACTCTGCTGTTAACCACCCTGCTGGGCCAGGCATGTACAACAAACTCAAACCTCGGTGGCGTTCCAAGACTAGTGCTGCAGCTAGCCTTTGCTGCGTGTGGGAGTTATGCAAAGGAAAGGGCAGACTGGGGTGGGGTATGGGAGAGTCAAGCCCAAATTCTCGAGAGAGAACACAACGGGTTCCGCGTGCTGCCGGACCTCTTCCATGCGGCCCTTGCGCAGACGAAGTAAATTCTAACACTTCCCCTGAGGAATACAGTAGAAGCAACCCACTGAAGTACCTGTCATTTTCCAGAGGAATTTGGAAACAGTTAACACAGGAAGGATCCTGCCGGAGCAAAAGGCAAAGCTTTTAACAGGGGCTCATTCCCAGCTATAATCCCTCTAGTACAAGTTAATCCATAGCAGACAAACCAGACACATCCCAGCTGCATGAGATCACAAGGGAAGAGACCAGTCAACTCAACTCTTGCTAGAACAGTCAAAGACTGACACAGCTCCACTGTCCAACCAGCAACTTCCAAATACGCACAACCCAAAACTGGCACCGTATTCCTCAGAGGGGTTCGGAGACTAAATAGGCTCAGAATGTGTACCTCCGCCGCCGCCGCCCCCCCTCCAGCAAAAGTACACTGGCTTACTCATTCCAGTGAGGGCCTGCCTTTTTCCACAAGTTTATATAGTCTTGGACTTCCCACTGAGCTTAGAACTGGGGTGCTGGTGGGGAGACCATCTCCTGATCCCCATCCCCCAAAGTTCAGAGGGATTTCACCCCTCCCCAGTTTGGGGTGGGGCAGGGACATGGTCACCAGAGATTCTGAATGGCTACTGCCAACACGTTTTTCCGGCCTGCATCGCTCTCAGACAGACAAACAGCAACATGGGTTTGGTTCTGAAGTCTGGTGCAAGGTAGGCTCCGATGTACAGCTAGATCCCTGGGTGAGTTGCTGTGAATCAGCAAGGAATTTGATTCCTTGCCATCTCACAACAGGGAAGAAAGACTCCTAGATGATACTCCTGTGAAAATTATGAGTGCGTGTGTTTGCAGGGGAACTGGCAAAACTTCCATGGATTTTTGGATGGAGGAAAGGCAAGCTCGGTTTAGCTGTGGCGTACAGGGCACATTTCTGAGCTTGTAACCCCAGTTGTGTGCCTTCTGCATTGGGCCCGGGTTGGCGGGTCTCAGCGCTCCCATAAAAACCAGCAACAACAAAACCCCAAGTCGATCCCACAAGCCGGAAGATTGGTAACCCTCAGGCAGCTCTCACAAGAAAAGGCCAAAATAAACCACAGGCATTAACTATTGTGGTTTAATTATTTCTAGTGCTTTTAAATGCAAACACTCTGCTTGAACTTAGTCAGAAAATACAAGAAAAAGACATTTGCATCTGCGGGCGGAGGGAGGGAGGGGAAAGAAACAGGCTCAAGAATACAGGAAATTCAATACCACAGAAAGCAGGACCAAAGCTAAACAAATGCCAAAGAGAACTCCTCTCTGCATTGCAAGGGTACATAATCAAGAAAAAATTTAAACAAAAACAAATGTTGACGAAAAATGTCTTCAATTAAAAAGCTGCTGCACAGGCCTTCAAGCAAGGGGAACTCTCGGCCATCTTTAGACATTGGTATTCAGTGAGGTGACTGTGTGTGTAAGAGAGAGAGAGAGAGAAGGGGGGGGTGTAAAGCCCCAAGTACCTCATTTCCTGGGGAGCAAAATGGTTGGTTTGCATGCATTTGCAAAAGCATGGCACAAGAGACTCTCGGTTCCAGCAACAGGAAGGCAGCCTGGGTTTTACTGACAGAAAAAACACAACACTTTCCAAGAAAGCTCCGAAGGAATTTGCACTGCAGCTAATAAAAATTGGAATATCTTATCAGCAGCATAAACAGCTTCAGTGTGGAAGGGGAACTTTCCATACGCTGTCACCTCAGTCCAGCCAGCCCCTGTGACAAGGGCTGAGACCAGGGCAGCAAATTGAACACCCACCGCAGCCACACTTCCGCAACACCCTGATGGTGGATCAGGTCCTTGGCTCCCCCCTGCCCTGTTTGCCAACTCAAAAACTTTTTGCCACATTACGCCACGAACCCTGCCCGGAGCTTTCTTCTTCCCTGACGAAAGCCAAGATTTCAGATACAGCCCCACAGTACGGGCTGCCCCAACCCATTTAGATCCGGCAATTAATCTATGAAAGAAAGGTAAAGAAAGAAGGTGCGCGTGCGTGCAGAGGAAAGCAAGCCTAAGTTTGAAAAAAAAAATCCCTTTTCAAGATTCTTCTTAGGTTGCAGGTAACGATCTGGATTTCTGTCGCAGCAAAAGGCAGGCCGGGCCAATTAGAGCAGCTTCCTTTTGTAGCCACCTTTCCTATCACGGAAAAAGAAAAAACGGGGGGGGGCTCCTGGTTGGGGTTTCCCGCATCCCCCGAAGGCACCTTTGCCTTCCACGTTCGGCGAGCAACCGAGCAAGCCCCGGAGGGCGGGGGCAGACCGGACCCCGGGCCAAGCGAGGGGGAGCAGGGGAGCCGGAGGGGCGCCCCGGAGCCGGGAACAATGGGCCCGGAACCCTGCAGGGCGCCTAACCGCGACTGTTCGGGAGGTGGAGCCGAAACACCTCCGGGCACCAGACAAAAGATGGAGAGCAGAGCAGAGCGAGCAGAGCAGAGGGCCAGGAGCCAGGGCGGCCTTGGGCGCGTTTGCGCGGCGAGGGCAGGCTGCCCCGGGAAGGCGGCTGCCTGCGGGAGAAAGCCGCCGCGCCCTGCCCGGCCCGGCCCCGAGGCGCCACCGCCGCTCGCCCGGGGCGGCCCGGCGGCGGGCGAACAGACCAGATGGGCAAAATGGCGCTGGGCATAAAATGTAACAATTTCAGGCAGGTCGCCATGTTGTCATGAGCCGAGCGGGGCGGATCGCGCGGGCATCGGGCATCGGGCTCGGCGAGCGGCGGGCCGGGACGGGCCGGGCGCCGCGCCTCGCGAGGCTGCCGCGCCGACCGAGCGACCGCGAATAACGGGCCCTTCCGCGGGCGGCGCTGCGGAGCGGCTCCGAGCCGGGAGCGGGGACGCGGCGGCGGCGGGCGAAGCGGCGCCCGGACAAAGGCGCGCGGGGGGCGCGGGCGGGACTGACCAGCACTGGAGGTGGAAGGCGGCGGGGCAGTGGTCGCAGCAGAGCAGGTCCCCGCCTTCCTTGCAGCTGTCGCAGCTGTCGTGGTTGGTGGCGCGCCCGCTCCGCCGCTGCTGCTGCTGCTGGGCCGCGGCGGCGGCGGCCGGGGAGTGGTGCGGGTGCGCGTGGTGCGGCGGCGGGTGGTGGTGGTGGTGCGGCGGCGCGTGGTGCGCGTGGTGCGGGTGGTGCTGGGCGCCTCCGTGGTGGTGCGGGTCGCCGCCGCCGCCGCGCTCGGGCCGGCGGCTCCGCTTCTCGCCGCCGCCGCCGCCGTCGTCGCCCCGGGGAGGCGCCAGCAGCGCCTGGATTTGCTGCCATGGCGGGAGAGAGCGACAAGGGGCGCGTGAGGCGGGGGGGAGGCGGCGGCGGGGGGCCGCCCGCGCGCCCCTCCCTCCGCCCGCCCCGCCGCCCCCGCCCCGCGCGCGCCCGCCCGCCCGCCTCACCTCCATCACCCCCCCGGACGTGTCCAGGTCGTAGACCACCGTCTTGGCCTCCATCCTCTCCCACATCCAACAACGGCCGAGCGGGGCCGGCCCGGCGCGCAGGCAGGGCGAGGGCGGGAACGGCAACGGCGGCGGCCCCGCCGGGGCGACTGCTGCGGCTGCGGCCGCCGCTCGGCGCTCCGCGTCTCCGGCCTCG